ACAGAAGATCTTTCTGTCTCTCCTTTTTTCTATAAATCTGCCTTTTCAATAAAAACAAATACTTTTTTTCTAAAAAAAAAATCTCAAAAATTGTCATGTAGGCTAGTTCTCTATTTCTGATAGTTCCCTGAAGGTATAGCTCCTTTAAATATTTTTTAAATTATAAAATAGTGGACTGCTACATAATATGTGATAAAAACAAACAGATAACACTATAGAAATATGAAGCTGCATAAATCAATATTTATAATTCTTATTTTATTGTTTCATGTAAAAAGAAATATTTTGATGAAATAACCAGATTTCAAGATGTAGTAAAATATTTCATTTTGAAATGTTTTAAAAACAGTGTACTGGGGTTATTGTGTATGTGGAGAGAATGAGTATTCACATTGACTTTTCACACTCAGTGATTCAGATTTCAAAGAATAGTGGCTTTGGGACTTTTCCTAAGTTAGATAGATCTGACGGCAAAGGTACATGAAGATGTCTTGATGATTTAACCAAGTAAGGAACGGAAATCCAGACAATTTTGCAGAAAATCATCTTGCTGTGTTTGGAGACACGTTCACAAGGGCAGAAAAAAAAAGATTTTCCAAGGGTCACACAGATCTAATAAGAAGATCGTGTGTTTATGAATTAGATGAAGAAAATTCGAAATTGTTAGAGCCGTGAGAAAATTTGAAATTGTTAGAGCTGTAAGGCATTTGGGGTTTCCTAAAATCATCAACTCACTAAGAAGGCCTTGATTATTCAGGAATCAGAAGTTCCTGTCACAGGAAGGACTGCAAGTCCCCAAAACTACACTTTCCAGACCATGCATGCCAGATTCCACCACCGCCTCATCTTATATTTTCAGTAATGGAATAATTGCCTTCCCGTTCAACAAAGCTTTTTTTAAAGTTTCATGGTGTTGCAAGTAGAGTCTGTAGTTCATTGTTGCACTTGCTGTTGATACTGTGATCTGCCTTGTTGATTTTATTTTTGACTGTTTCTGTTCAGGGTGATTATAACTGCCCTGAGTCTCTGTGCCAGAAACAATCAATGGCAATAAAATATGTATAAATAATGTGCAAAAACACAGTGATTAGCATTTCTTGCTGCACTGAATACACGGGATGTGAAGTCAGGCAAACAGGCATTGCTAGCTTTCTGCCCACCAGCAAGGATTCAACTAAAAAATGAAGGACTGGAAAGTATATTTGTGACATACTTCTAAGATTTCATGAGAGCAGATTCTTTTCACATATTCTTATTTGCCTGGTGGCATCTTATTTTATCAGTGACTTGGATTAATTACTCTATAAATTCTGCCCTTGACATCTAAGTTTAAACCTGAGAAACACAGCAAAAGCATTATCCCAACAACTCTCTGTATCTTCACTGACTTACACATTCAAAAATGGATTTAACACGTTTCTGTACATGTATATATACAGGCCTCAACAGGCTTGGAATCATCAAGGAACGTAGGTTTCTGCAGTGCACCATCAAAGCAGCAAGTATTCTTATGGACAGGGATGGGGGGGGGGGAAGATTCCCTAAATATTTTTAAATGATACAATAACACTATATTCTTAAACTTTTTAAAGTTTTCACTAAGAAAAAAAGCAGAATATCTTTTGGCTTTAGAAAGTCTTATGCAAGCAATACTCCGCTGAAGCCACGTAAAAATAACTTATTTTTATGGCTAAAGGGCAGGAGCCAGGGAGTGGCTCATCACCCATCAGCACTTTAGCCTTCTGTAGAGTAAACCAGTACTGGAACAGGGCAAAAAAACATTGTTCTTTCAATGCCAGATGCCAGAGGAATCCAGGATGCTGGCAAGCACAGGGAGAAACATGCAATTGGTAAATTTCACACTGCTCAATTAGGTATAGGGGAGAAACCATGCTTTTAGAAAGATACCAAGAAAAAAACAAACAAAACAAGAAAGATACCTAGACCTCACTCAAAGCACAGACTTGTATGGGAAAAAAAGAACAAATAGTAATTAATGTGAGATGGTGTAGAGGAGAGGCATCCACTTAAGGGCCCTACTATGGCTCTTGAGTGATGAATTTGGAAGCATGGTGTGTGCAGACAGAATCTGGTGAGCAGACACTGCAGCTTGGGCTGTAGGAGTGGGCCTTTCTATGTCCTAGATTTGTAGAAACCCCAAAACACTTGGTGTGGCTACTTGGAACAAACAGGCAGCATGGGAGGGAAAGGCTGGCACTGGAAGGGAAACCAGAAATGTGCAAGTCAGGGACATCCTGGCTCTACCACCAACTGAGTCGACCCAAATAAGTCACTTCTGCTTATTCAGTTTGGGTGCTTGCTTCCTCATTTATGAAACAAAAAGGTTGTGCCATCAGTAAGATTCCTTTTAGAGTTGTATGGCTCAAAATTGCTGAATTGTAGAACATATGCCTTCTAAATCATGACAGATAATGGCAAGCTTTATATGTAAATTTAAGTATCTGTTGCCTTGTTAAAGCTTGTTCAAAATAAACGGGCAAAATTAATTTCCATAATCTAAAAACTCAGTATGTCCTAAACACTTCTTCAAAATTTTTCTTTCTTATTTGAACGGCAGACAGAGAGGGACAATCAGAGATCTCCCAACTACTGGTTCACTTCCCAAACACATTCACCAGAACTGAAGCAATACCAAAACCAGTCTGGGTCTCCTAAATGGGTGGCAGGGAAAAAAAACTACCCAAGCCATTATTCTGCTGCCCTCCAGCACCTGAGCTGCGTGGAGCTAGGAATTCCAACTCAAAGCAAGATATCACATTATGATACAGGGTGGTCCCGTGTGACATTATAAGCAATTTCTTAACAACTATGCCAAATATCTGCCTCCAAAATATTATCATTTCAACATGAGCCTTTTAAATCTTGACCAGATGCACACATTTCAAACATCAGTAACCACATGTAGCTAGTGGCTGCTATCTGCTGTCTTGGAAAGCACAGCTCTGGATAGCTGTGTGCAGTTCACAGGAAAATAACCAAGTGCTCTAAGTCATGGTTCCATAGATATTTACCAAAATTCTCAGAGGGTCTTGAAAAAATATTTTGGATCCCATTCAATGCACTGGGCATGTATCATGTTTTAGAAAATCTCCCTGGATAAATCTTACATGAAGCCTGTCCATACAAATCATCAAATGTCTTTACTGAAGTAAGGGAGGCTTCATGCTATTTGGAAGTAGGATATGGCAAGCATGAGGTTAGCATTCTCCTCAAGGATTTGGTAAATGACTGTTAGAAAAATTAGCTCGGGGCCGGCATGGTAGCCTAGCAGCTAAAGTCCTCGCCTTGCACACAACAGGACCCCATATGGACGCTGGTTCTAATCCCAGCCATCCCGCTTCTCATCGAGCTCCCTGCTTGTGGCCTAGGAAAGCAGTCGAGGACAGCCCAAAGCCTTGGGAACCTGCACCCGAGAGGGAGACCTGGAAGAAGCTCCTGGCTCCTGGCTTCAGATCAGCTCAGCTCTGGCCATTGCGGTGTCTTGGGGAGAGAATCATCAGACAGAAGACCTTCCTGTCTCTCCTCCTCTTTCCAATAAAAATAAAATAAGTCTTTAAAAAAAAAAAAAGAACTAGCTTATGTATGTATGTATGGATTGAAACATCCCAATGCTTATCATATCACACAAGGAGTACTTCCAGCTAGAGGACAAAACATAGTAGAGAACAAAGAATTGATGCTGTATTCCCAGAAGTGACACATGGTAGATCAATATTCAGTTCTCTGAGTACACTCCACATGGGCTGCCAGTAGTCTATAATCCCTTAAACATACAAAAGGTGTAAGGTTCCTTTTTCCCTTCATCCATGCCATCAGGTGTTGCTAGTGGACTTCCAATTGCAGGCTAGTCTCACTGGAATTAGGTGGAAACTCAGTTGTATTTCCCTACTTACTAGGGAGTCTGAGCATTTTTCACATGACCATTCATCACTTGACTTTGTTCTTCTTTAAAAAAAATACTTTTTCATTTCCTTCACCAATTTCTTAACAGGATTATTTGCTTTGCTATCGTTGAGTTTCTGAAGCCCTTCGAAAATCCTGGATATTAGTCCCCTATCTGTTGTATAGCATGCAAAGATTTTCTCCCATTCTGTTGATTGCCTCTTTAATTTGTTGGTCATTTCCTTTGCTCTATAGAAGCTTTGTAGCTTATGTAATCCATTAGTTGGCTTGGACTCCCTGTGCTTTGTGACTTTTCTAAGAAGTCTTTGCCAATGCCTATATCTTGTAGAACGTTTCCTATGTTTTCCTTTAATAGTTTGATGGTTTCTTGGTGCAGTTTTAGGTCCTTGATCCATTTAGTGCTGGTTTTTGGATGAGTGACAGATGGGGGTCTTGTTTCTTGCCTCTGCAGCCTGCTATCCAATTGTCCCAACAGCATTTGTTGAAGAGACCAAACTTTTTTCTCTGGATTATTTTCAGCCCTTTTGTCAAAGTTGGCTGCACACATGTGGGCTTCACTCTGGAGTTTCTATTCTGTTCCATTGTTCTTCTTCTTCATCTTGGTACCAATACCAGACTGTTTTGATGATCACTGCCCTACAGTATGTCTTGAGGTTTGGAATTGTGATGCTTTGTTTTTTTTTTTCTTCAGGATAGCTTTGGTTATTCACGGTCTAAAGGAACTGAAATCTATATGAGAAAGTGTCCTACAACCCTATCGTTACAGCAGCACAATCCACAATAGTGAAGACATGGGAACAACCCAGATGCCCATCGAAAGAGGAATGGATAAAGAAACTGTGATACTTCTACTCAATGGAATACTATTCAGCCATTAAAAGAATGAAATTCTACCATTTGCAACAAAGATGATCTTAACCATTGTGCTTCATGGAATAAGCCAATCCCAAAAAGACAAATATCATATGTTCTGTCTGATATAAAGCAACATTCATTCAAAATACAAAACAATACAAAGGTAAAGATGCATATAAATATATTCTCATAGATTAACTGTATAATGGAGACTAGCATACCAGAAAATGAAGGAACAGTGCAGTACATATCTCTGATCCTGAAAAAAAAAAAGGAGGACTCCTAATGAAATTGCTAAATATATCTTGACAATATTATACTAGATTTTCTATCATTGCCTATAATGCCATGGCCTACAATACCATGATACACTTAACTAGTGGAATGTTGGACTACTGACTATTGCTGAAGAATTATACCATTGTAATAATATGGGGGTAATGATGTATGGAGGGGCAGTGAATAGGGAAGGAGGAGATGGAGGGAAGAATCCCTATATCTACAAAACCATACCACAGAAAACAATAATAATAACAATTAAAATTTTTGAAAAACAACTTATGTTACAAACCAAAGGAAGTCAGACTTTGTTATGCTGAGAAGCTGCCAGATTCTATTTTGCTGAGATGTGTCCACTTGAGTGGACTCAATGGAGCTGCAGCTGCAATTACAAAGCATGAAGAAGTGGGCATTTAGCTGAGATGACTCGCGGAGTAGCTATGTTGAATAGTCTTCTCTGTGTCCTTACTCCAGTTTCCTGCTAATGCCGACCTGGGGGACAGCAGTACCAATTGAAATCACTGGGTTCCTGCCACCCATGGAGAGAAACAACCTCCCAGCCTGACTCCCAGCCTCAACCCGTCTGCTGAGGGCATTTCAGAAGTGAATAATCATATGGTAGCTGTCTGACTTTTTGTCTGAATGCTCCTCAAATTTAAAAACAACTTTTAATTGTAAGTGTAGTGTTTAGGTTTAGATTGCCCTTCATCTTCCTAGGACGGATCCTCTCCTTTTTATCTTCAACTGTGTGGTAACAGAATGTTGAAAAGGATTTATCAAAGTGAAGTGTCACAATAACAATTTTGCTTATTGGTGTGAAAGAAATGAATGTATGAATTAGAAGTCTTCCTCTTGGTTTCCAAAGTCACTTCAGACTGGACAAAGGAAGGATTTACAAGCAGAAGTGTGATTTCTGGCAGCTACACAATACACCTCCACATCATGACGCAGGAGATAAAGAACTGAATGAATAAAGGTGGCCCATAGCTTATCTGAAATGCACCTGGACTTCTTCAAGAAATATTAACATTCCAGGTGTCAGATAAGAAACATTCCAGGTTTCAGATAAAAGCAGCAGGTTATCCTAAGGACTTTGTTTATCCTATCTCAGGGTTGGGGATGACCTCTAAGATCAGCTAAAGGGTAAGATAGGGTTGAGAGCCCTGTGTTCCGAACTCCTAACAGAAGCTACTAGGGAATTTGCAAAAAGCATATAAATTAAACACAGACTGGATGAACTCTAGCCTACATTATTCAAAGGGCAAAATAAATTGGTTTCAAATGTAGATGAAGGGGAGTCTATGGCCTAGCTGGAAAGAAAGGCTTAAAAGTATCAGCTCAGTGACCTGAGGCTCTACACACTGGTCAGACCCAGAGTGCTCAAAGGAGAAATGTAAAGGTCAATGAGTGGAAGTATGATTTGGCACAATCCTTTGAGAGGAATTGGAGGACAAATGTGTAACATCCTTCCAAGATTATGTTGAACTTCATTCAGCAATTCAATGTTTTGGAATATATGACATATATTATGGCATATATATTCCAAAATATAAATGTATCCAGAAGTATTCAAGTCTGTATTGGCTAAATTAGTGTAATACTAGGAATAATCTAATAACAAAAAGTGGTTAAATAAACTATATTTTTATGTTTGTGAATATGTACATATAAATTATATTATGCATCCATGATTTAATGCAGTAAACTCGTGGTAATGATGCCAAATTTGATATTATTCATGAAAAGTATATTACATTGAAAAGCCAATGACAAAATATCAAAATAGCTCCACAAAAATAATAATTATGCTAAAATTGAGGAAAAATAAACAGAATATTATAAATTTTAGTCAGTTTTGGGAAAATAAAAGTATTTTAATCTGATTTATGTAATTATGAAAAATATATCCCATGTTTCTGCCCAATAGGAACTAATTTCAGATTTATCCATTTGGAAAGTAACTTTTCTCACCAAAAGCCAGAAAAATGCTATCCTCTTGAAAGAGAAGGAACTTGTTGAACTGCTTTCCCCTTCTCCTTGAGTTGTAACTAGAGTTTTTGGAAGATTATAGTTATAACATTTATGTGAGCTTCCTGATTCATTATTACACAAGTTTCCACCTAATCTCCCTTAAAATACACTCTTTTTTGAGATAGCATGAGGCAGTGGTTCTGTTCTTTGCAAACAACAAAGGTTGGCTGCAGAAGAGAACTCCACCACTAACCCATCTCCAGGGCAGTTCTGAGAACTCCACGAAGTTATGGTGTCCTCACTCCCAGCAGCACAGACACACACAACAGCCTTTCTAATAGATTTGCTTGCTGTTTGCCAGCCACCTCCAAATTCTTTATAATTTGATCATTAAATGTATATAATCTAAGCCAATATTGTCCTGACTTCCTATTTTTCTAAATTGGGTTATTTGTTGTTTTTGCTAGTGAGTGGCTTGAGTTCCCTACATATTCTGGATATCAACCTTTTGTCAGTTGTGTAACTTAAATATGTTTTCTTTCATTCTATGGATCATTTCTTCATTCTGTTGGTTACTAACTATGCAAAAATTCTTTAGCTTGATGAAATACAATTTGCCATTTTTGCTTTTGTTTCCTGTGCTTTTGAGGTCTGATCCAAAAAACTCTTCCCCCATTCCAATGTCCCAAGCACCTCCCATATCACATTTTTCTTTCTTACAGAAGTTTCAATGTTTTGGGTCTAATGCTGATTCTAGGATTATTTGAATTTAAAGCAGCAATTACCAAGTGATTTTACAAAATTCATTATTGCTCATAAAAAAATCAAACTTTTATAGAAAAGCCCTCATCAAAAGAGAACAATTACAAAATATGCCATTTTTCTTCATCCCTTCATTTCACAATGGCAAGTATCTAGTGATTGGAGCCAGTTAGTTCTATGATTAAGCAACAGTTCCACAATTTATTTGTTCCATATCCTTAGGCAAATTACACAGTCTTCCTCAATTTCAATTTTCTGGGGATACTTACATTTTGAGCTTATGCGGATGAGAGATTAAGAATGTGAAGTACTGGACACAATGTCAGTTAATGTTTAGTACTAGTACTATTCTTAAAGACTTACCTTTATTGGAAAGTCAGATTTACAGAGAGAAGGAGAGACAAAGATGAGCCAGGAGTTTCTTCTGGGTCTCCCATGTGGGTGCAGGGTCCCAAGGCTTTGGATCATCTTCTACTGCTTTCCTAGGCCAGAAACAAGGAGCTGGAAGCGAAGTGGACCAGCCGGGACACAAACCAGTGACCATACAGGATCCTGGCACATGCAAGGTGAGAATTTCAGTCACTAGGCTACCACACCCGGCCCCAGTTGTACTATTTGTTAAACAAAGTAAATTCTTCACTGAGAAACATTTGCAACATTTTCTGAAAATTAAGAACACACTCTATTTCAAGTAACTATCCATGACATAAACAGATGTATTTGGAATACTACAAGGGAAAACAGTCTTAAATTTTCCATCCAATATTACCAAACACTCACACATGCAGGATTCTACCACTACCACCGCCCTTGGTGATCTTTTCATTTCTCCACAGAAAAACTAGAACACAAAGTTCCTTCTTAACCACAAGTTAGAGTGTATTTTAAGTTAGAGGTCATGATACGTTCATTTGGAAAAATATTCATTAGTGTTTATACACACAGAAATCCACACAAATATACTTTGTCTGTGCATACACACACAACACACATTTACTCATATGTATATCTGATCTATAAACTAATAAGATCAGGATTTTAGTACTTAACTAATATAAACGAGTGAGCCAATGGGGAAGTCCAACCACTTACATTAACCACAAGATTCATGCTTGCCTCTTACCTTAACAGTTATCTAACACAAACACATTCCACATTCTCACACAAATTGTTCTGAGACAGAAGGAAAGAGAGAAGAGAAGGAAAGGAGAGTAAGACAGAAGACAGGAAGAGAAGGAAGGAAAGGAGGAGAGGGGTGAAGGATGGAACAGAGGGTAAGAGAAACAACACAAGGAAGGGGTATATGTTGGACTAGAGTCCAAGCTTGATTAGTTCAGGGAAGCCATTTCTTTCTTGCCCACCTAGAGCTTGCTCAGACTTGCAATCAAGCTGTGTTACAAGGTGGATGATATCTCTACAAGACTTATTACTGAAATTAGTGAGTCTCAGATTTAATATTTTCATCTTGGTTCTTTCGCTTTTTGAATGCAAACAACTGAGTTTCTGTTGGTTTTGAGTGTGTTCCTCAGAGCATCCCCAAGTTCCTGATTTTTTTCTTCTCAGTTCCTTCTTGTTTACTATCCAATTCAATAGCTACTGACCCCTGTCCCACCCAGCACTAACTCTGTGGGTTTTAAGCCCTCCCCTTTCTGAGCTGTGATTTCAAGTACAGCTACCTCCATACATAGTATGAAAATTAGGATTATTAACCCACAGAATTTCAGCACCATATTGAAAAGGTTCTTTTGGGGCAGCCCTATATTTGGAGAACTCTTAGGATTAAGCAAAATATGCAGGAGGGAATATTGTGGTGTAGCAAGTAAAGCCAGAGGCTGCAATGCTGGCATCCCAAAGGGCACCAGTTGAAGTCCCACCTGGTTCACTTCCAATCCAGCTCTCTGCTCATGGCCTAGGAAAACAGGAGAAGATGGCCTAAGTGCTTGTGCCCTGACACCCACAAGGGAGACACAAAAGAATCTCTTGATCCCTAGCTTCAGTCCAGCCCAGCACTGGTTGTGTGGCCATTTGGGGAGTGACACACCCTTTCAAATAATTAATTTTAAAAAGAAAAATATGGGTCCTGCCAATTTAAATAACAGAATCTCCAAAAATGAATAATACTATTGGGAAGACAAGGCATTGAAATTGAAATATATATACCACAGTAAATTAATGAATCTGTTCAATTGTAAATTCAGTGCAAATACAAATTATTTAAATTTTTGATGTATTCAAAAAGGCTGAGGCAAGAAGTTGACAAAAGCAAAAAGAGAGCTATTTACAAAAGCCACTTGGACACAGATTTCATTGGTTTTAGAGAACCTAGGCAGGGGTTGATGTCAGCTTGGTGGAAGTGCCATTGCTGGTCTTAACAATTGTTAGAGATTAACTTTGTAAGAGAAATCTGTGCATACCTGAGAGACAGATAGAATGAGAAGGAATTTCTAACTGGGTTTAAGAAATTCCTTGAGAAAGAGTTTATCTCAGACTGAAGATGTAAGCCCTCCTCTCACATTACTTCTTGTCTCCAGCTATCACTAGATTTGACAAGAAAAATTTCATCTTGGGGTCATCTTCAGAAGTGGCAACAGGAAAGGTAAGCAGGCTATATGAAGATATGAAACAGTTGATTACCTTGAAGAAATATTCAGCATATCCTCTGCATATACTAATTCTAAGAATGAAATAACATCTCAAATCAAGAAACATTATAAACAGATAACTAGTTGGGCTTTTCATTTTCCATATTTTCAGACAAGAGTTGAAGTCAGAAGAATTTTAACTAACTTTTTCAAGGAGATGGGCTGATAGTAGGATAAGCTTTATTTACATATCTGCTACAGGTGGGATGACCATTCTTCAAGAATTTTCTCACTACTCATAGCCCACCAGGAAATTTTCCAATTGCTGACACAGATTCACAACTTTCCTGAAATTAAAAGTGGAGTAAACTGGTGACAGAAGTGTTTTCTAATCAACTTGCTTTAACTGATAAAACAGTTTCTAAAAGCATACTCTCAAGGATTCTGGATTTATGAAATACAATCTAAGATGGTCAATAGCCCTTATTCTTTTTTTCATCCTTGCAGAACATTATTAAAAATTTCAGTGTGGGGCCCGGCACGGTGGCGCAAGTGGTTAAGGTCCTCCCCTTGCACGCCCGGGATCCCATATGGGCGCCAGTTCTAATCCCGGCAGCCCTGCTTCCCTTCCAGCTCCCTGCCTGTGGCCCGGGAAGGCAGTCAAGGACGGCCCAAAGCTTTGGGAACCTGCACCCGCGTGGGAGACCCGGAAGAGGCTCCTGGCTTCGGATTGGCATAGCATCGACCGTTGCGCTCACTTGGGGAGTGAATCATCGGACGGAAGATCTTCCTCTCTGTCTCTCCTCTCTGTATATCCGCCTTTCCAATGAAAAAATAATAAAAATAAATCTTTAAAAAAAAAAAAAATTTCAGTGTGTACGTGGCCACTCAACATTACTAAATTACAAACACCACTACACTGTCATTTGAATGTAGTTGACATGTTTAGCCAATAAAAATATAATAGTCAGCTATAAAAATGGTTCCTAAAGCTTTTAATGTTAGTAATGTTCCAAATTTATCAGTACATTTCTTGAACAGAAAAAAAAAAGAAAAATGAAAGTTTTGATTTGTGAGCATGAAGTATCAGGTTCTTTCTCTTTTTTTCTGTATTTGTCTTCTACCACTTCAGAAAAGACCCTTTGTTTACTCTCACAGGTACCGGCAAGGGTTACTCTCTGTTGCTGCCAAGAGATCTGGGCATGGCACAGCCAAGTGGAGTCAGATGACTGTTTTGCTGAAACAAGGATTCTGAGCCTGAGAATTCAGCAGCAAGAAAACATCCTCATCTCTGTTATAGACAAGTCATCAACGGTGTCGACTAATGGGAAGAAAAGCAAGATGGAGTCAAAGCCCCGATACTTGCTCAGTCACAAGTGTTCAGTTAAACACTAAGTTAGAAAGAACAAACTGCAGTATCAGTGATATTGGTCTATCTGGGTGGGTTTTAGCAAACGAATACACATTCTTTCCTAAAACTGAATGTTCGATGTAAAATAAGACATTACAAAATAAAAATTGGAATGTTTCATGAAGCAGAAGGATTTTTCAGGACTTTCTTAAAGGAATATGTGCCAGGAAAATTTTTGTAACAATTAAATAGTATCTGTTCTACATGTCTAAGTCATGGAAAACACCAAAAAGTTATTCTTTTTCTTACTTAAAGACAAATTATAGAGTCCTGTTCAGTGAAAGTACTTGCATGGGGCTCAATTTAAAGCCCAGCAGTGAGATCTTACGTGAGATTCACAGTCACATTCTTTGCTATTGCAGGCATAGTCTTAAATATCATGTCTGGGTTCTTTCCTATTGTATTTCAAAGAAGAGACAATTGTGTTAATAAATTTTTATTTTACTGATGGGCTAATGGTAATTAGTGTTTAATACTTTTCCCTGAAAAATAAACGTGAGTATAATTTCATGATACTGCAAATTCTAAATTTGTCAGATTCTTTTGCACACAATTTGCTGGAATAAACTTTCATGAGCTAAAAAGGAGAGATGTGAGTTCTTTTCTGTGAAAACTGAAATCTAATGTAACCATTCATCTTTAAAAGGAATTCATTGCCACAGAAGTTATGGATAGTTTCTGATTTATGAACAAGTAGGTCTTAGAATACAAATCCGTACTACATTGATCTTTATACTATTGCTTAGCCCCATTCTCTTGCACAGTTTCTATTAAGATGTAAGGAAAGGAAGGCTTCATTGCTTTTTACTTTTCTTACTATCCTTCTGTGATATGAATCACTTTGACATAAGGCAAATATGAAGTTTAAAATTTGAAACAGATTTCTGCTAAATAGTTTCTTAAAATTATAACATTAGATTCCTACATACAATAAAAGGGAGGGGTACGTTTGAATACTTTTTTGGTTTAGAATTCTTTTTCTATTTTTTACTTTTTTGGTATTTCATTTTTAAACTTTAATTTTCAATTAGTTTATATCAGGTCCAATGTGATTTGTAGGTATGATTCTAAGAACATATTTCCTTTTTCCTCCCTCCTACTCTCATTTTTTCTCAAGTTTGAGCATTTAAAAATGTTATGCATAAAAGTATGAAACATAATTAATTTATAATATGTCAGCCTAAGAAAACACAAAGTCTGCAGAATATTCAGAATCAGAGGTGTTTTGTCCTGAAGCTGCTCTATACTGCCTGGCCCCTCCCCTCACCAGTAAGGACAGAGTGTTTTCAGAAGTAGGCTGCAAGGACTGGCATCTTCTCTGTTATGGCTCATGGAAGTTCACTTAATCTGGAATGATGGAAGACAGCAATACCAAGAGGGATTTTTGATGCAAATGATGATCTGAGACGGATGAATGGAGAGGGCCAACACCTCCTCTAGACTGAGGTACTGGTCATAGTTAGGCTGTATTTCTTGCTAAGTACATGTACCTACTGGAGAAGGGAAAAGCTCCTCATTCACTCATGGTGCACCCTGGATCTGTGTACATGCACAGAAGAGATACAAAACTGCCCAGTGGAAAGCAAAAGCTTGAATTAGAGCAGTACTGAAGAAAGCATGGACTTTGACTGAACTCTCTACTCACCCAGGTATCCATCGACAAAGGACAGAAGTCTTCTTGGCTTAAGGTGTTTTTCCAATTACCAATTCAATCAGAAATGGGGAAATAACAGTCTAGGCTATAGAGAAAGAGAAAGAGAAAGAGAGAGAGAATTAGTGTGTAGATTTATTGCAGATAAACAGATTTATGTACATTATACCTTAGTATATATGTCTGTGTGTATATTTGCTTATATTCTCATTACATATTATTTATTATACATTATTTTAACTAAGATTGGGTTCCTGGAACCCAGTTTAGGCCTTGACTAGCCCTGGTGCTGCAAATATCTGAGGAGTAAACACCCTTCGGATGCCTCTGTTTCTCAAATAAATAAATAGATATTAAAGAATTAAGCATTATGAAAACATGGAGTTCAAAAGTAGAAATTCTCAGAAAGGCAATCTAGAAGTTGGAAAGATAACCATACAGTATATATCTTATGGCTGGAATGAAAAATTCGCTAGAACTACTCAATAAAAGATTCAAGACGACAGAAAAATAATTTGAACTGAAAGCCAGATCAGTAGAAATTATTCAAACTGAAATACAGAAAAACTGTACCAATATTAAAGTTCCAAGAGAAGAGAGAAGGTGCAGAACAAAGTAATTGAAAAAAGACTTAGTGAAATCTTACCTGATTTGATGAAAACCATTACTCTGCACTTGCAAGAATTTCAAAGAACATAAAATAGATCACCTTTCTGCCTGAAGCTCTCCTCTGTGGCTTTCTTTGTGTACTTGATGGGTCCCCTCATACTCTCTTATTGTTTCTTCCCTACATGTTTCGTTTCCTAAAATTGTTTTCTTCAGTGAATGCATTTTAAAACCTTATGCAACTCAATTGTTTATCTATTCTACACACTCACATTTATTTTCATAGGAAGATCGACAATAGACATGAACTCTTTTACACAATTTCTCTAACTAAAAAGGGGAGAGTTCAAATGCCTATAATAAAGACACCTTTAAAACTTGCAATATGACTTCCCTATTTCCACTGCCTGGCTAAAAGTCTCATCACAGATATTTCATTAGCATTCTAAATATAGAATGGAGATTTTTTTCTTCTGTTCCATATTTTTGTAATTGTACTAAAATTAGAAGTGTACAAGAGGCAAATAAAAACCTGCTACCTTCTTTCCCTCAATACTTAGTTGTCAAGTCCTGCCAATTCTATCAACAATAGTTTCTTTCCTGCTCACTCTCACTACTTAAGGATTTTATTACTTGCTCGCCCAACCTGTCGAACAGTGGTAATTGGCTTTCAGGACCTTGTTGTTTCTGTCTGTTTGCCATCCAAAATATCGTAGTCAGATTAACATTCCTGAAGCCGAATTTTGATCATTTCACTACTAAACAACAAAAAGATTCAGTGGTTTCCCATAGTTTGTAAAATTAGGTCTACAGAGAAGAAGGGAAGATGTAAGGTAAAGAACATTATTTGTGGGTAGGTACATGTCCCTTAAGAAGTGTAAATGATCTAAGCTTTAACATTATGTAAGTTTTGGAAGAGCAGTCACATCAACTTTGGGAGATGAAAAGTTGAAGACACGTGGCCATGGGATATGGTGAACAGATGGGCAGATTTAGGGTAGAGAAGATCCCACCCCAGGTTTTTTTCAGCCAAAGACAGACAAGAAGACAAATTGACTTAACTACTGAATAGGAACCTCTTTCTAGTAAATGAAGAGAACTTCCAGTGTAGTCAACTATAAAAAGCATTACAGAAAATATCTCTGGAAAATTCAGTTTTGGTACTTAGGACCACAGAAGAACTCGTAGTTAGTTCCATGTGGATCTGGATATGAATGTCTGTGCAAGTCCTTGGCAATCTAGACATTCTTAACAATGGGAAGCTGAAGAATCTTGGTTACTTGGGATGAAACTGCTTCATCTTATAAAAATATTATTGCCAGTGCAGTGCTACATCAGAAGACATAAAAAGATTTCTACCACTTTACAGTTTTGTGAATGGAATAAGCACGTAGATTTTCCAAATTAGCTAACAAATTCTTCAGATGTTGGTTGGACATGGGTCAAATTATTTAACTAAGTCCATTGCTCTCTCTACTTATGCCACAGGTAACCTTTGATTCAGACTATAAATCATAATGAATTCAGAATTCATAGGATTCAAATTTAAAGTATTTCAATATGAGGGAATGCGTGTTAATTAGGTATGCACTGTGCCTAAAAAGAAAGGCTAACCAAACTCCAAAAATGAAAGAATAACAACTTTCCTGTGCATTTAACACAGTGATTAAGATGCTGTTTTGGCTGACCATATCCTATACTGGAGTACCTAGGTTCAAGGCCCAACTCTGCCTCCAATTCCAACTTCGCACTATTGCCCTTTCTGGCACGTAGCAGATGACGATTCAACTTGTCAGGTCCCCGGCATTGTCTGCCTCCTGGCATTAGCCTAGCTGAGTCTCTGCTTTTCGAGGACTGAACCAGCAGATGTGAAATCGCTTTCTCTGTGTCTATTTTTAAATAAAATTTTTTTTAAAGTCTAACTTTCTTCTTTGTGATTGTTGTCCTCTTACATGACAGAATAAAGATCACTGCAAATCTCTTCTACAGTTGCTGAAGACATACTCCTCATAATTGCATCAAATTTTATAATGACTTCCTCCAAAATTACCAAAGATGTTATTAAATGTAGTAATATAAGTAAATATCACCTAAATAAATTAGAACAGATTGAATTTAGTTAGTCATGAATTGGAGAACAATTATTTTGTGATGTATATCAAATTTTAGCCTTCTGCAGGACAGAAATTTTCAGAACCTTCAGCTTTTTTATAAGACCTCAGGACTCTATGTAATTTTCAATAATACTAATGTTTTTCTTTTTATCCAGATTAAGTTTGTAAGTCTAGCACTTCTAATTTTATTGATATTATAGTAAAATTTAACTAAAGCAGATTCTTTTGAGTATGAGACACTGTCCCATGGTAGTGAGGAGCCTGAATTCTAGAATTATTCATGCACTAACTCTACCACTTCCCAGCTATGCTTCTGCTCCTCTCCTTAGAAGATGTATTTGTAAACATCTTTGACTTTTTCTGTGTGCCATTTTTGTGTGTGTGTGACCAAGATATTGGTAAGTACCATGAAGTGTAATTGAGACATAACAAAGGTCAGTTCTTACTACTGTAATGTATGAATTGAAATTAACATGCATTATTTCTTTTTTTGCTAGTTTGCTCAGAAAAACCTCTAGTACTCAGGGAGATGGAGGAAGGAGGGCATTTGACCAGGCAGTCTGGAATACTGATTGGGAAGTCGATGTGCCCAGGTTCAATCCCTGATTCCAGTTACCTGCTATTGTGAATCCTGACAGGCAGAAATGACAACTCCAGTGATAGAATTCCATCTATCCAGGATACCTGGACTAAATTCTTGGCTCTCAGCTTCAGCCCATTTGGGGCTATCTCAGACACTCGGGGAAAATACCTTGTGGACAGGACCTCTCCTAGCCTCTCAAGTAAGCAAATGAAAACTTTTAAAGGAAATGAGAGATTCTAACAGTATTGGATTTTTTTTAAAAAAAGTATGTGTGTCAGTTTTCACTCTAACATAGAATGAGAATTCCTATTTTTCCACATATTTACCCAGACTTATCAATATTTTTAAGCTATCCTGAAGAAAATCTAATAATATTTAACTGTGATTTCAATGTGCATCTCTCTGGTGATTAAGTAAATCAAGTATTTTTCTTAAATTTGTTAGCACTGAGGGACACTTTTTAAGTGCCTGTTCAAATCTTTTGTTTTTTTGTTTTTTTTTGTTTTATTATTGATGTATAAATGTAATACAACAAACATATTTGTGTATATTTTACTAATTAGGAATATCTTTTGATAAATGAGTTCTTAATTTTAACACCTGAAGCAATATTTTTCTTCATTTTTAGTACATTTGTGATTGAATATATTAATCCTCTCTGCATTCTGACTTGTCCTACTGATCCATCTTATGGAAACATTACACTATTCTGATTATTATGAACATGCAGTAAGCACTACATCAACTACACCAAGTTCTCCTCCTGTTTTCTTCTGTTTGAGTGGCTTGCCTATATCTAGCCCTCCGAAATCTCATATTTTCCACTTAAGCAAAGTGAGGGTAGTCCCAGGTCCTAGCCAGTAGCTGAGAACTCCACTGGTTGCCCATGTGGGTGAGCTGAAATGCTTGAACACAGGCACTCCTGCATGGTGTCCTGGATTAAAATTACATAATTAGAGTGAACTCAACTCACTTGTGTACTTACCTGTAAACATTTTTATTTCTGAAATATTATGAATCTTGGTCGATGTGTTCATGACTGAAGTTGCCCTGAAATTTCTCTCTCGGAATTTCCTGGTCATGTTTTGAAACTGAAGTTACACTGGCTTCATAAATTGTGAAATACTGTCTGTTTTTTAATTTCCCAAAAGAATATAACATTGGAATATTTATTAGAGTGGAATTTAAGCTAGAAACTCAATTGTGTTTTTAATCATTATGAGACGTTAATAATTTTTACTCATTTTGAAATTTTAGCAGCTAGTATTTTTAAATATTTCCAGTTTTTAAGGTTTATGTATTTATTTTGAAAATCAGAGTTACAAAGCAAGAGAGTAAGAAACACAGGCAGTACAATATCTATCTACTGATTTCATTCCACAAATGGTCGCAGCTGGTCAGCAGTGGCCCAGGCCAAAGGTGAAGCCAGAGGCTTCATCTGGGTTTCCTATGTGGTGGGCAGGGGTTCTCACTTGGGTCATCTGCTGCTTTTCCTAGGCTATCAGAAGGGAGCTGGATCAGAAACAGACCAGCTGAGACACAAGCTAATGCCCATTTAGGGTGCCAGTGTCAAGGTGGCCTCCAGTAATAGCTTAACACACTACACCACAACACAGCCCACATAAATTTTCTCATTTTACAAAATTTGTAACATAAGAGTTAATACTTAAAAGTTATTAGCAACATACCTATCATACATAAAAGTTACTAGCAACATACTTAACATCAAAATCTGCAGTAGATGAGATCTCTTTCCATTTCTTAGTTATTAAGAATCTGCCTTGGGGCCTGCACTGTGGCTCACCAGATTAATCTTCCCCCTTCAAGCACCAGCATTGCATATGGGCACCAGTTCATGTTTCAGCTGCACCACTTCACATCCAGTTCCCTGCTTGTGGCCTGGCAAAGCAACAGAGGATGGGCCCAAAGACCTTATACAATTACGTGGCAGACCCAGAAAAGGCTTCTGGCTTTGGATCAGCTCAGCTCTAACAATCGCAGCTGTCTGGGGAGTCAAACAGTAGCTGGAAGATCATTCTCTATGTCTCTCCGTATCTATAAACCTGCCTTCGTAATAAAAATAAATAAATCTTTTAAAAAAGAGAGAGAATTTACCTTATCAAAATAAATCAGGCTGCTATAATTCTCAAAAATAGATAAGATCTTAAAAATACTGAGAATGCATTTTACTTGAGTTATGGATAGGTGCAGTGTCAAACCTAACGTATTTTGTACCCAGAAGCAGCTATTTGTAAACAACCCTTTTTCTCTATGACAGAAGTGTTCTTGGTAACAATAATGTAATTAAATAAATTTAAAATTAAATTTAAAATAAATTTAAAAACTAATGATAAATAACTAGTTATTTTAAATAAAATGACTAATAATTTTTATTATTGTGCCCAAAAAATAAAGACACTGAAAAAAATTTTTTTTTGGAGATTTATTTATTTTTATTGGAAAGGCAGATTTACAGAGAGAAGGGGAGAGAGAGAGGAAGATCTTCCATCTGCTGCTTCACTCCCCAAATGGCCACAATGGCCAAAGCTGAGCCAATCTGAAGCCAGGAGCCTCTTCCACATCTCCCATGCGGATGCAGGCTCCCAAGGCTTTGGGCCATCCTCGAATTTTTTCCCAGGACACAAGCAGGGAGCTGGATGGGAAGTGGAGCACCTGGGACATGAACTGGCATCCATATGGAATCCTGAAACTTTTAAGGCAAAGGATTTAGTTGCTGAGACAAGAGCATTGGGCCCTTATTTATTTAATATGTAATCCTGTGAGCAAAAAATAAATAAAATATATATTCTAGTTGAAAATGCAAATAAAATTTAAGGCTTAGTGCTTCACAAGAACATTAATGTGTTTTGAATACCTTATGGCCTTGGGCTTAGAACATTAATGTGTGCAAATTTGTTAAAGACTTAGTCAATTGATCTTGACATATTCACAGTCAATACAATCAGTATAGCCAGATTTATATTTTCACTCAGAGGTGACTAAAGAACATTTTTACTTTATTTCGTTTTTTAAGCGTCTGTGATTTTCCTCATCTCTTGTCATTTGCTTTTTCTTTCCCTTTTTTAAACATTTATTTATTTTTATTGGAAAGGTGGATAAACAGAGAGGAGGAGAGACAGAGAGAAAGATCCTCCATCTGATGGTTCATCCTCAAGCGGTCACAGTGGCTGGAGCTGAACCAATCCAAATCCAGAAGCCTCTTCCGGGTCTCCCACATGGGTGCAGGGTCCCAAAGCTCTGGCCCATCCTCAACTGCTTTCCCAGGGCACAAGCAGGGAGCTGGATGGGAAGCAGAGCTTCCAGGACTAGAACTAGCATCCATATGGGATCCCGCTGTGTTCAGGGCGACGACTTCAACCACTATGCCATTGCACTGGTCCCTTTTCTTTAATTTTAATTCTTGCACAAATAATTATGAGACCTTGAATTCAGAAGAAACTTGTCAGAGATACATAAAAACCTCATATTGCATTAAATTGCAGTAGCTACAATATTGCCAATGTCTTTGTTTCTTTGAAATCAGTTCTGGCCACTTTCAAATATTTGTGAAGCTGAAATTTTTCCACTAAAAGACTCCATCATAAAATTTATTATAAATTCCTATCCTATGTGGTAAATTCATGAAATTGTGCAATGTTTAACTTTTTATCTTGCTTCAGGCTCGGTTCATATCAATCCTTATGGAATGACATAATCCTGTGCTTAAACAAATGCAAAAAGTTACAGTATTTGAGAGTGAGAAACATTTTCATGCAGAACACATTTTTTAACTAAAGCATCAGTAATAATACATGCAAAGTGTTATTTAGTATATGAACACACACACACACATATACACACACACACATAAACTTCAGAAAAGTTTGCAGCTGTTTAGACCTAAGACCAAAAAAAAAATTTTCTCCCTTAAAAGATGTGTAGTATCATTGATGTTGGTTGAAATTATCAGGGCATAATGATCATAAAAGGCAGACTGGTTTTTATTATTTTATTTTATTTTGCTCCTTTTCAATTTTCTGTGCACAAAATGTTCCCTTATTACCTGCACTCTCACCATACCATTCTTAGTATTCCACTGACTGGATGAAAAAAGAATGAAGCAAGCTGCAAAGGAATACTCATATCCTTTAAATGGCATGCCAAATGTTCTTCTGGAGTCAAGAGATTTTTCCAAGTAATTATAAGAATAATGAAGCAGTTTGTTGATTTATTCCTGGAAATACTCATAAAATATGCAAGTCATATTTTCTTTTGCTTCAACTTTAGACTTGCTTGGTTTGAGTCTTTATAGTGTGCCTCATTTTGACTATTTGCCAACATTGATAGTGGCGCACTGGACCTTGCTCTGATGCTGTGGACTGGGTAAACAAATGATACACCAAGATTTCAATTTGCTATTAGACTTACAAATCTCAACAATAACATTTGAGGTAACTCCTGGCTTTCTCTGAGATTTTTCACATGATATCCCAAACTCCTCCTTGATCTGGCAAGGAAATATCTGAAAATTTTAAAGGCTAAGTGACTCATAAAATGCAACTTAATAGATTGCAATAATAAGTTGCCATTTAAAAGATAAAAAGCAAGAAATTCCAAAATCCTACAAACTCATTATACAAATCAGGGCATAAATCACTGGAAAAACAACTCTACATCCTTTCGAAATCAGACTTTCCACTCACCAAATTTATTTCACCTTGTAGATTTCTTTGTGCTTCATTTGAAAAATGTGGTCAAGAAATTAAACTATATCTTTCTTAGTAATCACCAAATAAATACAAGAAAGGCCCATTTGGTGCTTCCTGTTTGGTTCTGTTGATGGACTTCAGTTCACTCCTGAGTGGCAATTGAGGATGTTTGTATTCTTGACCTCTCTGCAGGAAAGCAGGAAGGAATCTGAACTCCGATGACTTGCTGTGCTTCTGGCTTTGATGTAATGTTCTGGCTTCAGTGACCAAAGTTCCACGTCCGCAGTAACAAATCTGAACTAACATTAAAACCTGTAAAAATGCCAGTACATTGATGTTTAGCAGTTGGGCTTCCAGGCTTACTGTGCAAGAACATGATTTCTTTACCAACACTTGTAATAGCTTCAACTGCCTTCAAAATCAGGCATTTTTTTTTAACAAAGAGAGGAACACACATCAGGCCCACTGGTAACAGAGAGTTTTACTAGGACTATTTTAAAGTCAATTACTATGAAAAAACTTTTACATACTCCAAATACCCTAATTCCAGGGATTTCTATCCTCTGAATACCACCTATTGCTCAGTATATCATGACTTAGGGTCCTTACATGAGGACCCTCCTCTTCCAAATTCACCTTGTCTGCAATCCTGGCACTACAGGAGCTAGACAGACAGTTAAGTCATCTCAGGTCACACTTGGGAGTTCAGAAATTTATTCTAACCCTGTTTCTTAACCCTTCTCTGCTTTTTTGACTCACAAACATTGTGATGAAAAACAAGGATAAATCTATAGAACATTTAATTTTCTGCTAGGAAATCAACCTGTAAAGTCCATGACTAACTTTTTATTGTACTCAAGGGCCAATATCTTCGTTTTTTGTGATGTACTGTGTAATTTACAGAAAGATATGATCTGTTCTAGGTGGGACAGAACAATTGCCAGCTAACGATACCTGCCCCTAACGTTCCCATTTTCCTCTTCTTTGTGCATCTTAAACACCTTTAGACACCCCTAATCTCCCTTTAGGCAGAACTCAAATACATCTGTCCTGGAGTAAGAATGCCTCACATCTGTATTTCTGGATCAAACAAATGACCTACCACCATCACAAAGGATGAAGGCTAATACATTTCAAATATTCTGAGGAACTAGCTACCTGACCAATCATTTTGAAATGCCGGTGCTATGGTACAGTAGGCAAAACCTATGCCTGTGATAACAGACACATGTTCTTGTCCTGGTTTCTTCACTTTTTTTTCTTTAAAATTTATTTATTTGTGTTGCAAAGTCAGATACACAGAGAAGAGAAAAGTCAGGGAGGAAAATTTTCCATACAATGATCCACTCCCCAGGTGGCCGCAACAGCTGGGGCTGAGTCCATCTGAAGCCAGGAACCTGGAGCCCAGAGCTTCTTCTGGGTCTCCCATGCAGGTGCAGGGTCCCAGGGCCTTGCTTGGGCCAGCCTCGACTGCTTTCCCAGGACACAAGCAGGGAGCTGGATGTGAAGCAGGGCTGCCGGGATTAGAACCCATATGGGATCCCAGCATATTCAAGGCAAGGATTTTAGCCACTAGGCCACTGCGCCAGGCTGATTCTTCACTTCTGATTCAGCTCCCTATAAACAGTCTAGGAAAGCAGCTAATGAATTTTTGAAACTCACAGTCAGTTGTGAGTTACCAGGGAGTGAAGTTGGGACTTGATATGGGATTATCTGACTGTAAAATTTATATGTAACTGCTGAGCCCCAACAGGCTATCTGTCCTCAGCTATGAAAGTAACTGGAAAATATCTTTGCTACTCTGGGTCCTGCTTGTTGTTTCATGCACCTTGGAGTCAAGCCAGAAACTAAAGAAACTGCCCACCTGCCAATGGCAAAGTGATGAAGCAAGATGTAAGTGAAGTAACATCAAAATAATAATGGAATTAGCAGAAAAGAGTAACAAGACACCATTCTAGGATTTGTGTCTCCTGCATGTAATTATGAAGAAAATCCTTTTGGTGCCGGGGGGTGGAGAAGGGGAAAGGGTGGGAGAGGATCCAGTAACTGCTGAGTTCAGACTTCCACAGGTGGGCATTCCTTTTCTCTTCTGGCCTCATGCTTTTCCTTTAACGGGTGTTAATAAGATGTGGTTTTACCACTTAGGAAAAGGAATAATCAACAGGATCCAAAAAGAATGAGGAATCCTGAAAAATTACCCACTAAAGTGATATCCTAAGATAGCACACATAGGTAAATTTGGAACTGAATATTGTTAGAGGAAAAGTGAAAAGAATAGGAAACAAGAAAAAAAGGTATCAGACAAAACCTATAATACAACCTTTGGACATTAACCCAATCCACATTTGGCCAACAAATATGTGTTTTTATGTGCCAGTATTGTGTTAGTGGCACTGAGTTAAACAAGCACAGCTCACACTGTAAGAAAAGTGAAACGCATAATAGTGGACCACTTACTAGAGAGACAGTAGCAGGCATCCAGAGTAACCCAGGTTGCAGCTGAGATACAAGAGCAGAACAGGATGTAATTATACAGTAGGGTTCAAAGATGGAATAGAGCAGGCAAAATGAAACAAATACATTAATGAGTTGCTCTAATCATTTATTAGACCTAAGTAAATAGTGAAACATTAAACAAAATTACAAACTAGTCACTTTTTTTTTTAACATCTGCAACCAATTTTAGGTAAATATTATCTTAGAGGTGGAAAAGAACAAAGACCAATGAAAGCAACAAGGCCCAGGGAGAGGCCCAAGTGATGAATTCATAGAAATCATCGGCACAATGTTCATAAACAATTGGTTAGAGAAGGCAGCAAAATTCCTTTCATGGTCTGTGACTACAGGTCAATGAACTTACATTACTCATTTGTATACGTGTGTGTGGCTACATATCATAAATACGCACCCACCAACACACACGCTTTTTGCTTTCTTTCATCGTCAGACATGGTTGTGCAGCATAGATAGAAATACTGTAAATGGTGTGCTCCACTCTGAGTGTACCTTCACAGCTACTGGTGATGCCTATTTTGATCATTTGGGTCCCATGTCCAGCTTCACCACCGCACAGTGATTTTTTCAGTTGCAGTTGGTGGGTAATGCACAAAGAGAAACCTTGAGAGTATGTTAATAATTCTGCTCCTCATCAAATCTGCATACACTCCCAATTTAGCATCCTGTGATAAGTTTTTACCAGAATGTTAGAAAGAGAGTGAATCAGTGACTTTGGCTTGAGACATCCCAACACATTTGCCTAACTTTTCATAGAACCGAACAAAATTCCAAAACACTCACCATTATTCCTCTCCTCTCTCTCTCAAAGTCTCTTTGTCTCCTTTCTTGTCCCTTCTTATTTTGTAATAGATTTCCTGCCCATCTAATTCTTAAATGTCATCGGTTTCTTGGATAGTCACTAAGAGAAATTCACTAAGAAAACACTAAGAGAAATTCAGCATATCTAGAAGTTAAGGTCCTAGCTCAAAGAGGAGAAAAAGCTCAATTAATCTTACAGGAATCTGTTAAATATTTTCCTTTCCATAGTAAGTTTCAAAAATAGGAAGGTATCCACAGCACATCAAATATCAACCTTTCTGGGCTAGCTGTTATTTCAGATCATTCAGCACTAATACTGCTGTATTGTTTGGTAAAGGTCACCATATGGCACAGTGGACTAAACCACTATCTGCAATGGCATCCCATTTAAGCACTGGTTCAAATCCCATCTGTTCCAGTTCTGATCCAGCTGCCTAGTAGTGCACCTGGGACAGCAGTAGAAGATGGCCCAAATATTTGGGCCCTCAAACCAACATGGGAGACTCAAATAGAGTAGCTGGTCATTTTTTTTGGAAGCCACCAATCACTTAATTTTACTCAGCGTAACATATTGCCTTGGAGTATACAATCTAAAGACAAACAGCCAGGCTCCTGGCTTCAGATCAGCTCAGCTCCAGCCTTTGTGATGACTTGGGGAGTGAATCACCAGATGGATCTTCCTCTTTGTCTCCCCTCCTCTCTGCATATCTGACTTCCAAATAAAAATGAATAAAGCTTAAAATAAAAAAATCTGCCCCCAGATCCAGCTGTCCAGTGCCCTGGTTGGGCTGTAGCCCAGCCTGATCTGGCCTGTTCTCTGCTGCAACACTCTCAGGCAGTCATTCCAGCCTAACCCAGCCAGGAAGGACCCCCGCCAACCAACCCCCCATGCCGCCCCAGCATTTGTTTGTGTCAGCAGGTGGCAGGCAATGCTCATTGGTCCAACTCAGGTCTCAGGGACCTTGGTGTGACTCAGACCTGACCTCTGGTTCCTCCCATTCCTCCCACCATCCCTACCCCCTCCCCCATCCCCACCAAACCACTCCACCTCAGCTCCTTCACCTACCTGCAACTGCAGTGACCCAGTCTGTGGAAGGCCCCAGAAATCATTCCTCCCCTGTCAAACATGCCCTCAGTGTGTACCCAATCCCCTTCCCCAGGAAATCTACAACATGTTCCTCCCCAGACACCCACCTGGAGGCCTCGGTGGCAGGTCCCACATATCTTAAAAAAAAAAAAAAAAAAAGACTAAGCAACTATGCTGGCATACTGATATAGTTAACACAATTTTGGCATTAACCAGGTCCAGAATGTCTGCCAGTTACTGGCTCCTTTCTCCAGCAGTGCAACACTTGTCCAGGTACAAGGCAACCTAGGTCATTGCCTACAGCTGGGGCCAATCATCATTTTAAAGCTTTTTTTTGGCCAGATGCAACGTAGAAAACTTAAAGGAGAAAACCAATACTGAAGACGTATTCATAAGAAAATACACTTGAGGACCTGATGCAGTAGCCTAGTGGCACAAGTCCTCACCTTGCATGCGCCAGGATCCCACATGAACCTCGTTCTAGTCCTGGCAGTCCCACTTTACATTTAGGTCTTTGCCTGTGACCTGGGAAAGCAGTCGAGGACAGCCCAAAGCCTTGGGACCCTGTACCCTCATGGGAGACTCAGAAGAATCTCTGGTCTCCAGGTTCCTGGCTTCAAATCGACTCACCTCCAGCCACTGTAGCCACTTGGGGAATGAATCAGCAAACAAAAGATCTTCCTCTCTGTCTTCTCCTCTCTGTATATCTGACATTCTGTGCCAAAACCCTATGAGATGTCCAGACAATTCGTTTAACCCTTGCTCTCATAACCCTCAAGTCAGAAAAATAAAAATAAAATGAAAATGTAAAATTGAATTAAGAATTAAATTTGAGTAAAGGAAAGAAACACTGAGTATATTGAGTATAAGTATATTGCAAAAATGAGTATATTGCAAATTATGCTAGAAACTACTTAAAAAATATTCTATTTATAGTCCTACATTTTGATAACACAGCAGAATCTGCTTTTATCCTTACTGTGAAAAGAAATACACCGGAAAAGGGAAAGAAAACAGTAAAATCTTGGTTTAATGGAAGAGATTACATTGACAGGAAACGAAATTGGGGGAAAGGAAATCCTCAAGACAGTGGTTGAGAACCTTGAAAACAAAGATAAGTAAAGCTGATGTCAACAGCAGGGATAGAGCAACGTGTCTAGAGAATTTTATGTCCGAATCATTTATCCTTAACTTTTATCTCTATTCACGATATAAATTGGCAAGATTGTTGGGATACTGAATCCTAATTTTCTTGATAAGAGTGGTATTATTAAACAACTACAATACATGCATGTTGGTGAACTTAGAGCCAAAATAATCGAAAGTTTTTCTCTATAAGAAAGTAGTGAGGCCAGTGTTGTAGTACAAGTTAAACTGGTGCCAGTTTAACCAGTTTACACTTTGCTTCCCTGCTGATGGCCTGGGAAAAGCAGTAGAAGTTGGACCAACTGAATACTACACCCACGTGGGCAACTAGAACAGAGTTCCAGGCTCCCGGCTTCTGCCTGGCCCAGCCCTGGCCACTGTGACAATTTGGGAAGTGAACCAGGAGACAGATCTCTCTCTCTTTGTATGCCCTGCTGCACACAATTCTGAACTCTTTTTTTTTTTTTTCTCAAGATTTATCTATTTTACAGAGAAAGAGAGAGACAGAGATCTATCCTCTGCTGGTTCACTCTGCAAACAGTCACAATGGCCAGAGCTGGAAATGAGGAGACTCTTTGGGTCCCACACATGGGTAAGGGTCCCTAAGGCCCTGGACCATCCTTTGTTGCTTTCCCAGGTCTTAAGCAAGGAGCTGCATCGGAGGTGGAGTATATGGATGCCAGCACAACAGGCAGCAAACTAGCTCGCTATGTCACTACACCAGTCCCATAACTGCCTTTCAGATAAAAGAAATAATTTGGAAGGAAAAAAAAAAGAAGAAAGAAAAAGAAAGGAAAGGAAAGAATAAGCACTGACTTGGGCTGGAACATGGCACAACTGGTAACACTTCCACCTGTGAGGCTAGCAGTCTATTCCACTTCTGAACCAGCTCCCTTCTGTAATGTCTGGAGAAAACAACAGCAGACAGCCCAAGTACTTTGGATCTTGCCACTAGGTCCACTAGCTTTGGGGATCCAGATGGAGCTCCTGGTTCCTGCCTCACTTAGCTCTTGCCTTTTCAATCATTTGGGGAGTGAATTAATGATTGGAAGATATATCTCTCTCTCACACTGTCATTTGAATATAGTTTTTTTTTTTTTTAAGAAAGCACTGATGGGGCCCGGCGCGGTGGCACAAGTGGTTAAGGTCCTCGCCTTGAACGCCCAAGATCCCATATGGGCGCCGGTTCTATCCCGGCAGCTCCGCTTCCCTTCCAGCTCCCTGCCTGTGGCCCGGGAAAGCAGTTGAGGACAGCCCAAAGCTTTGGGACCCTGCACCCACGTGGGAGACCCGGAAGAGGCTCCCAGCTTCGGATCGGCATAGTATCGGCCCGTTGCGCTCACTTGGGGAGTGAATCATTGGACGGAAGATCTTCCTCTCTGTCTTTCCTCTCTGTATATCCGCCTTTCCAATAAAAAAATAATAAAAATAAATCTTAAAAAAAAAGAAAGCATTGATGATACAATTTGGTTAAATATTCATAGGAACTATGCTAAAATTATATAAAAAAATTCCATTTGAAGACTGTTTTAGACTAGAAAATGGCCACGTGGCTGATTCTGCTGGTGATTCATTCAGTTTGTGGTTTGAATTATTCCAAATCTAGTTGCAACCAATTTATAAAGAACGTATGTTCAAGGCATTTAAAGATGCTCAAGTTTATGAGTGCTATGTAACCAATCATTATTAATGAGCAGTAACATATTAAGTTCTAATCAAATTTACCAAATGCTTCATAAATCCAGTTAAAAAGTAATGTGATCATAAAATTCCGCTTGGCTTCATTCAAAATTTTAAAAGTACAGTCTGTGTGTTAACTGCTTGCGTCTCCTATAACAAAGTGTCACAAACTTATGTCCTCAGTAGCATGATGTTACCATCTCAGCCTCTGGAGGCTTAAAAGTCAGACAGATCCTAGTGCCTTTCAGTACTGGAAGGATGTCATCTAGCATTGGCCAACATCTTCACATGGCTTGCTCCTTCCGTATCCCTGTCCTCTGACACAGCAGTCCTAAGGAATTAGAGGACTATGAAGCGATTTTAGCTGATTACCTCTGCATCAGTTCAATCTCCAACCAAATTAATTCATTAATAAATATTTTAAATGTAATATAACAAAATTCAAAACTTAAAAAAAATTTTAAAGATCATACTTTCCTCCCTAACCTCTATATTCTCTTGATCTCCGCACATCACCTAAGCCTCTGCCCAGTATACTCTTCTTGTAAAGCAAAAGCTTGAAATGATCTCTAAGGTTTATTTTAGTCTAGAAACATTAGGTCCTAACAAATGTCATATCACAGGACCTGAAACATAAATACCATGGTGTCTAGTACAACCTGACCTGAAAACCCTAATGTAACTCTTTTTAGTCTTCATTCCTAACCTGAATTTTAGCCTAGCCACTGTTGTGGGCTTTTGGAATACATCAGCAAAGAAGACTGTGGAGGTAGCTGCTATAAAGTTGCTAAGATTTTCACAGTAGTGACAACCTAAATGTACATGAAATTATGGATTAAAAAAATGACACTTGGGAACATGATCCATTCACAGAAAAACAAGTCAACATAAGGGTTTAACAAGAAGATGGGGGGCAAAAGATAATAAATAGTATGTAGGGGAACATAAAGGCTTGGGAAAGAACATTCCACATGGAAGAAGCAGCATGAACAAAGACCCAGAGGTAAGAACATGAACACTGGATCCACTTCTGATCCAGCTCCATGCTAATACTTCTGGGAAAGGAGTGGAAAATGGTCCAGTTGCTTTAGCACCTGCACCCACGTGTGAGACCTAGGAAGAGACTTCTGACTCTTGGTTCATCCCCAGCCATTGCAAACATTTGGGGAGTGCCAGCGGATGGGAGATTATCTGTCTCTCTCACACATTCTGACTCTCCTCCTCTGCCTTTCAATGAAATAAATAAATTTTTTAAAGAAAAAAAAAATTTTAAGCCAGGAGGAAAAGAAGGACTAAGTAAATAAGTAAAAAGAAATAACCAACTATAAAATAGTGGAAACAACTGGAGAATGTAGGGTCCTGAATCTTGCATCTTATCTATAAAATGAGTCTCTGTAAGAATCTGTAGGGATTAAATAAGTTTACATATCCAGGCAACGTCGCCATAAAAAAAAATAATAAGTTCTGAGAGTTGGAAAACAATTAGAATGTTTCTTTGAATATTTTTTCCTCCAAAATCTATGTTGAAACTTAATCTCCGATGCAACTATACTAGAACACTTGATGCCTGGGAGGTGACTGAGTCATGAATGGTTCACCCTCATGAACGGGAGGAGGTTCATCCCACTTTTGCCTTTCTATCTTTTATCATGTAAGGACATAACATTATTTTTGTTTAGAGACTGTAGTGTTCAAAATATCACCCAGAAACACAGACCATATCCCCTGGTAACACACAACCTGTTGTGACCTTAATCTGAGACTTGCCAACCTCCAGCGCTGAGATAAATAAATGCTTGTTCCTTATAAGTTACCTGGTCTCAGACATTTTGCTGTAGTAGCACAAATGGATGCAGACAATGAGTACTGATCTGTCTGCTAAAAAAAAAGTAAATGCATTCTTGTATAAATATTATCTGAAGTTACATAAAGTACCAAGAATGAGAATCACATTGGACAAGAAAAAAAGAATAGGTAATAGACCTTCATTTTGGAGTGGTGTGTGTATGTGTGTACTACAAATGATATATAATGACTAAGTATTTCAAAAATCATTTTCTAGATCATCTTGGAAGAAAGAGTCCTAACAATGAAAGTTGAATTTGTAGAGGGTAGGAAGGATAGGACAATGTAAGAATTGTTGAGTACTTGATATGTTTCATATAATACAATACATTGTAATTTTACTTAATCTGGTCTTCAAAAGAGTATAAGATTATAAACTCAATTTAGTAACAAATGTTAAAGTGAAATTGAACATTTTAGCAAAGGCAATAAACAATTTGAAATTTTAGTTATGTACAATTTTGTTCTCTTGATTTAAAAATTATTAGTTATAACACCTACTGCTTATTCAATACCTATGCTATTTAAGTCACTGCTACTCATAATTCATATGTTTCTTCAATTTCCAAAATAATTCTACATGATACACAAATAATAGTATCACCCTTAATTAATACTTGAAGCTCAATGAATTTGTACAAATTACTTTTAAAATACAGTTGGTAGGGCCCAGTGCAGCAGCCTAGCAGCTAAAGTCCTCACCTTGTACATGCCAGGATCCCATATGGGTGCTGGTTTGTGTCCTGGTACATTCCCCACCACCACTGCTTCCCATCCAACTCCCTGCTTGTGGCCTGGGAAAGCAGTTGAGGACGGCCCACAGCCTTCGGACCCTACGCTCATGTAGGAGACCTGGAAAAGGTTCTAGGCTCCTGGCTTCAGACTTCAGATCGGCTTAGCTGCAGCCATTGTGACCACTTGGGGAGAATCACTGGACGGAAGATCTTCCTCCCTATCTCTCCTCCTTCCTGTATATCTACCTTTCCAATAAAAAAATTTTTTTTAAATAAATCTTAAAAAAAAAATGCAGTTGGTAAAGTCACAAAAGAAGAATGTGTATTCTGGTCTTTCTGATTAGAAAGTCTTAATTCCATCTACTGTGGAGGTCATCACCATAATATTTTGAAATTTAGTCTTCATGATCAGCTTTTCTTATGTTTCCATTTCTATTTGTAAATATGTATTTTCTGTATAAATAGCTCATTTCAATCTATGCGAGAACAAGGTCACATCAAGTTCTACATTGTCTCACATACTTGCAAGATACAAAGACTCTACAAGATTTAAAGCAAAACAAAACAAAACAAAAATCAGAATTCCTGCATCGAAAGCTCAGTAGGGAACAATTTGCTTCTAACTCTTAAAAGTTACTGTATAGGAACAGGCAGTGTTAGCCAAGTAAGTAAAAAGCAGCCAAGGTGTCCAAGAGCAAACAAATGAAATGAATCCACTCCATACTAGAGTTATCGCAGAACTTCAAGAGACTCGTGTCAGTCAAAATTGGGCTGGATGGTCCTCCAAAGAACATAAAGTAATAATGGTAGATTTTTCAATTTCCATAGAGTCTCCCAGCTTTTATAAGGTCTTATACCGAGCAAAATAAAAATAAATGAGACAAGCCAGAGCAATATCTGAGTTGACAGAAGTAACTCCTAAATCACTTATAATTGAGGAACAGATTTGTTTTACAGATTTTTCTAATACTTCCTCCTTAATACACTTGAACCTAACTACATAGTTCATATTTGTGCAATCATTCTCCAATTTCCAACTGGGAATATGTATTTTATTTCATTTTGGAATTATTTTTGCATACATCTACTGTGCAGCTGTTTTATTTTCAGTTAGAGATTTTAAATGTATGTGAGAAAGGGATACATAGGAAAAATATTTTTTAATAAAAAAGGAGCTGATTGTTTGCTCATGGCTTGGGAAAGTGGTGGAGGATGGCCCAGGGCCTCCGGCTCCTATACCCACATGAAAGACCTCAAAGAGGCTCCTGGCTCCAAGTTCTGGATCAGCACACTCTGGTCATTGAGGTCATTTGGGAAGAGAACCAGTGGACAAAATCTCTCTCCTCTCCTCTCCTCTCCTCTCTTCTCCTCTCCTCTCCTCTCCTCTCCTCTCCTCTCCTCTCCTCTCCTCTCCTCTCCTCTCTTCTCCTCTCCTCTCCTCTCCTTTCATCTCCTCTCTTCTCCTCTCCTCTCTCCTCTCCTCCAACTCTGGCTTTCAAGTAAAGCAAATAGATCTTTTTTAAAAAATCAGAAAATTAAAATGACTTGAAGTAGAGGTAACAAAGATAGTCCAAGATTCTTACTGCTGCTTAACTTTATACTACCTATATAAAAATTATTCATAACTCATTAATAACAACACTTCATTTATAAAAAGAAATTTATCTCCATTAGGGTAAGCAAAAATTGTTACCTAGTTTATGCCCATATAAATACACTTAGGAAATTACATTTATTTTCAAAATAAAATTTTCCAATTAAATTCCTTTGACATTCTTTTTAGGATAACCTCTTGACATCACTGAAATCCATCATTGTATGTATAAAAGTAGGACAGTGGAGTTATTGCAATGCCTCTGCTTGATTACAGACTAGCTCTGTTAAATGCTGAGGTCAATTTGTTACAAATTCAAGCAAAGTAATAATCAGTCCATACTCAAGCAGCATGGCTAATGGTTAACTGAAGTGGTCAAGCTGACATTCACCTTCACTGATTCATGAGCAAGGCTCTACTGATGGTCTCCATGGGTCAGGCAATATATTAGGATAGAATAACGAAGCACACAGCTGCTGAGCTTGGGACTCATGTCCTGGTCAGAAAGAAAGATCCAGTAACAGTTCAGTGTAAAACAGAATCCTATTCATATTTTGCCTTTGCATGAAGCATCAATCTTCTGACACTGCAATTGCAACATACCACAGATTGGATACTTTAAAAACTAGAAATGGAAGTGGATGGTGGTGATGGTGTTGGACATTTGGTCTAGTCAGTTAAGACATCTATCATCCATTTGGGAGTACCTGGAGGATGCTGGAAGACAATTAGTGATGGCTAAAGTATTTGAGTCCCTGTCACCCTGGACCACCTGGACTGAGTTCCTGTCTTGCAGCATTGACCTGGTGCAGCCTTGGCTGTTGTGAGCCTTTGGGGAACAAATTCCTGGATGAGGTCTCTGTATATCTGTTTCTAACTCTCAAAAACAAACAGAGATGTATTTTCGCAAAGTTCTGAAGGTGGGAAATCCAAGATAAAGGGGCCAATTAATTCAGTTCTTGCAGAGGTTTTCCCTCTGTCTTACAAATGGCCACTTTCTTAGTAAACTAATCCCACGCCCAGGGCTCTGACTTCTGCCTTTTTCCTAACTATAATTATTCCTAAAGACCCACACTTCCAAATAATATTGCACTGAGGGTGAGGACTCAGAGACCCAACACTAAGTTCGCTATATGAGAAAAGTATTGATCACCTTGGATTGTAGAGGAAAATATCATGAAGAAGCTTCATGACCAAGTGCTGTAGCTTGGTCTCAAAAGAGGCATAGGCAGTCACCAGAGGAGAAGCAGGAATGGCTTTTCACTTAGAACAGAAAAAACAAGAAGAGAGAATTAAGAAAAGGGTAAGGACATGTTTAAACAGAGAAATAATAGCCAGTGTGAAGCAGAGAAGGTACGTTCAAGGAAACAGAATAGGGCAGAATGACAGCAGAGGAATACCTGGAGACTGACAGACACAGGAAAGCAGCAGACACAACGCTATAGTGTTGCCGTAACTGATACCCCAGTGACATTCAGCAAACTGCAATCTGAACATCACCAGCAGCCCGAATTCCACCAGCTACAAAGTTCCACCCAAGACAGATCTGGGCAACCCTCAGACCTGACAGCCAGCAGATCGAGAACTCTAGCAGTGGCACATCAGGTGCCATTTCTTATAGTGTGGCAAAGAATTTAAGACTGTAGGGGACAACAATGAGCTGTGCACACGCTGAGGTCAGCAAGAACTCATTGAGCTCAATGCATTGCACTGGTCCCACAGGAAAATAATACCAACTACGGCATCATATGGGTCAAAATAAGTTCATGTGGCCCTCAGACATAACGGCCAAAAGGTTCTGGCAAGATCAGCACTACCAACAACCGATGTCTCCCTAATCCTGCGACCTACTCAAACCAGAAATGGGAGAAAGGTTGCACAGACAACGGTGCAGCCTCAGCACAGTGTCACAGGAGGTGGAGACTGGTAAGCCAGCAGCTGGGGCTATGGAAACCATGGTGGAAATCTAACATAAGAATCCAGACCTGGAACTCGCTAAAGGGAGTGGCACAACTGACTGCAAATAAAGAGCTGTCTATCAACCACAATAAATAAAATCAAACTGTAGACCTGAGGATGACACAGCTTAGAAACCTGCCCCAAGGAGAAGACTCTGATAACCAGAAGTACAATGACCAAGAGCAAAAGAAGAGACAGAAGCACAATGAATATTACTGATGACTCCCCTGCAAAGGAGCAAAACCCTTTGCCAACCTCACAGTTCACTGAAGAAGACATTGAGAAAATGGTGGATACAGAATTCAAAACACCTGTTATAAAACTCCTTACCAACAACGAGAAGCACATAAAGCAGTCACTCGAGGAATTTAAGGAATATGTCACACTGGAAATGAATCAAATGAAAGCTGATATATCGGAAATGAAGAATGCAGTGGAGCAAACTAAAAGTACAGTGGAGAGTCTCCAAAATAGAATGAAGAAGGCAGAAGAAAGAATCTCAGAATTAGAAGATATTTTCTGTCACCAAGAGGAAACAAAAATCTGGAAGCAGAGCTGGGTCAAGCTTTAAAAAAAAGTATTCAAGAATTGAAAGACACTATTAAAAGGCCAAATATATGAGTTATGGGAGTCCCAGAAGGTGCAGAAAGAGAAACTGGGTTTACAAATATATTTAATGAAATAATAAGGGAAAATTTCCCTAATCTAGAGAAAGAACTGGGAAACAAGATCCAGGAGGGTCACAAAAGGTTTGCCAAAAGCGATCTTTACCAAGACACATGATCATCAAGCTCTCTTCAATTGAATATGAGGAAAAGACCCTTAAATGTGCACATGAAAAAAATCAGTCGACATGTAAAGGAATGCCAATTAAACTCACAGGAGACCTCTCACAGGAAACTCTATAGGCAAGAAGAGAGTGGAGCGACATATTCCAGGTTCTAAAAGAAAAAAAAAATTGTCGGCCCAGGATAACATATCCAGCAAAGCTTTCTTTTGTCTTTGAAAATGAAATAAAATTCTTCCACAGTAAAGAAAAATTAAAAGAATATGCCTCTTACAAATCTGCCCTACTTAAAGATGTTCTCTTGACAGAGAAAAAATTTAGCGCCCACCAAAACCAAAGGCAAATGTGAAGAACATCCTAGTAAAATGACAACAGAAGACTAAATCAATGAGTAGCCCATTGCTAAAATGACAGAACCAAATTACCACCCATTCGTATTAATCCTGAATGTAAATGGCTTAAACTCATCAATCAAATGTGATAGATTAGTAGACTGGTTTAAAGCACAAAACCCATCTATTTGTTGCTTACAGGAGATATATGTCACCAAGAAAGATCAACAGAAACTATGTCTCATTTTTTTTTTGTTAGTTTCATCTCTTGAAAACACTTTCTTCTGACTAAATTCTTCAATGATCATATAGTAGCATCAATTTCTTCAAGAAGGTTGTTATTTTCTTTTTCATTTCTTCAGCAACACATTAGTCATTCAGTAGCATGTTATTTAACTTCATGGCATTGTTAATTTCTTTTTCTTTCTTCCTATTCTTGATTATGTTTTGTGGCTTTTCATTTATGGGGATGTATAGTAAATGTGTAATGGAGACTATCATATCTAGATGTGAAGATACAATGCAGTATGCATCCCTACTTCCAGACAAAGTTGGACTGCCAATGAAATGGTTTACTACATCTTGACAATAGGATTCTGGACTCTGCCATTGTCCATGCCTACAATGATGGAGATATGACTGTGTATGAGGAATTATGCTATAGTAATGATATAGAGGAACTCAGTCAGGTGGGGGAGGGATTTAGGGAGAGGCAAAGGGAAATCCCACAATCTATGGAACTGTCACAAAATGATAATAATAAAAAGAAGCAAAATTTTAAAAAGAACAGAAGAAACACAAACAAAGGAGAAGGAAAATAGAGTGAATTATTTCAGCATGGAGAGATTAAGGGACTGCTACAGAAAAGGAAAGGGTGAGACCAAAGTGCTCGGTGATAGAAGACTGAGGATTAAAATTTATATATGTGGGCTGTGGATAGTTGATTAAATTTGTATGCGCCTATCTGAGTGTATGCATATCCAAAAAATTTTTTTGGATAACTGTCATAAAAATTCAATATTTTTGGCCTGATACAATGGCTCAATGGCTAAATCCTCGCCTTTCAAGCACCAGGATCCCATCTGTGTGCCAGTTCATATCTCAACTGCTCCTATTCAGCTCCCTGGCCTGGGAGAGCAACAGAGGGATGCCTAAAGTCTTGGGATGCTGATGTTATGTGGGAGACCTGGAAGAAAGCTCCTGGTTCCTGGCTCCTGACTCCTGGCTTTGGTTTAACTCAGCTGAATGCAGTTATTTCGGAGTGAATCAGTAGATGGAAGATCTTTCTGTCTCTTTTTCTTTCTATAAAATTTATTAAATTTTTTTTTGCTAAAAATAGTATAATTAATAAAGAGATGCATGGATATAAGGATATAAAAAAGACCAGAAAGGACAGTTGAGACAATAAGCCAGTTGAGGTGAGGAGGATCTGCCAGGATAAGAGAGAAGAACATCTGTGTGGGATGCTCAATGGGATTTAATGATTATGAGTGCGAAGAAAAAAAATCTGATTCTAATGTGGGCCATATTGTAGATTTTAATAAGGGTTATAAGGATGAGCAGGGGATTTTGCTTTTGTTTGATTCTAGACTGAAGAGAGATAACCTGTCTTAATTTTCAATGCTAGGTGGTTTTGTGTATTGCACAGTTAGAAACAAGACAAGGCACTCAGGGGGAGGGGTAGGACAGAGAAGATTCACTCTCAAAGCAGGAAACCTAAACATCCCACCTTTTTCCTATCTGGCTTCCAGCTGAGCTCTGAACACAGCAAGGACTTAGTAAAGGCTGTAGACCGAACAGCCATCTCACAGTAGCCTCAGCAAAAAGCAAAGGGTGGTCAAGTTTCCCTCCTGGGATCCGAAGAGTCTGGGGCTTTCCCTGCAGAACTGAGAAACCTGTCAGCCTGTGACCCAGGGCAGCTGCTTCCCTGCTGCTGGGAATCTGTCAAACAGGAATTAGCAGAACTCTGGAAGCACACACTTCTTCCCATCAGGGCCACAATCCCTCATTCAAAATTTACACACACAAAAAGCTCTTTGAAAGCAGAAAGCATTTTTTTTGTATCTCATTTGGCAGTAAAATCTGTCCTGAAATAATGTGAGGCTATTAACAGTCCATGCATTCAATATCCATGTTTCATTGTAAAATTATTACTGTTACTGAGAGTGGTACTTAATAATAAATTCATCCTATTATCTTTTTGAAAATCCAAACAATTCTGAATTCCAAATTCGGGTGATTGAAAAGATTTCAGATAAAGAAATATTTCATAAAGAGTATTTCAAAAAGTTCCTGGAAAATAAAGTTAAAAGCTAAATTCCTTTTTGTGCAAAAAAAATTAAAATCCTTGCATAGTTTTTAAATAATGCAGATTTCATAAACTTTTTGGAAGGTCTTTAATATTTGGAGAGTAGAGTAAATACTGTGCAACCTACACTGGCACTTGCAAATGATTATTTCACCCATGAAAATGTAAGTCCAATTAAAAAAAAAAAAACTGTCCCCAACTTTGTCACTTCATTTTTAAAACTACTGAGAAGTTGCATGCTTTCACCTGTTTTGACCCACTGTTGTGCACTTCAACATCTTTGGCTCCCGGATTCAGTTCCTCAGCACCCTTAACAGGACTGGCTCATCTTTCCAGCCCATAGTCCTCATTCTTTTGCAGGATATACTTTCATGTCTGACCCTCCTATCTCTGCCCCTTTTGAACTGTAACTGATTCTAAGAAAATGGTTTGGGACTAGGGAATTCCACTGCCTCCTGGAGTGCTGGCATCCATGTGGGCCCCTTCGCTTACGATCCAGCTCTCTGCTAAACTGGGAGGCTGGCCTAAGTAGACATGGAAACATGGAACCCTCCACCCATGTGGGAGGCATGGAAGAAACTCCAGACTCCAGCTTTCAGCCTGGTCTAGCCCTGACTGTTGCAGCCATTTGGGGAATGAACCAGCATATGGAAGACTTTTCTCTGTCTTTCTCTGTAATACTGCCTTTAAAAACAAAAACAAAATAAAAAATAATAATAAAACAAAAAAAGGAAAAGGGCTTACTAAATTTTCCCACCACATCACTACAAAACTTCTCCATTTCATCATGGGATTTATCACCTGCCCCTGTCTTTCATGGTGGAAAAAGGAATCAGATTAGCCAGTCATTCAATCACCCAATTTATCATTTCTTTGCCCATCATTCATCCATTCAAAAAAAAGTACTGATCATATTCAACGTACCAGACACCAGGTGGGTATATAAGACAGTAACTAACAGGTATGCTTGGTATCATTTTATTATTTTAATATCTTTTTGATCTAGAAGGGAAACAAGCATGAAACAAATAATTAACTACAGTTGTGCTAAGTGCTGCTGATGGGGATGTAGAGGGCAGTGAGAGTGTGTGAGACAGCAGAACAGGGCTAAGTTGCAGAGGCGTCAGGAAGACTTCATCATT